AAGTTATCATATCTAAAAAATTAAGTTATATCTGATGGTTAATTTGTTGACCCCCCAGCCTCCTTAAAAGGCTGAGACACTAAGAATAAAAAAGAAATGATAGCACAACTTTTTCCTCTCATTTCATTATCAAATGTCAAGCTTTAATTCTAGAAATTAACGACACCTTGGCCAACGAATCAACTTTGTTCAAAGGAGCCTGATTGTATAAAAATGTGAGGAATCATCAAGGGAATTATAACAAGAACTTTCTCTTTGCATCACTACAACTTTTCTAAAAACTTTTTTATCATGTGCTTCGAATACACAATCATTTCCCATCCGTATATAAAAAATCCGAGCCAAATCAGAAGAAGACATATTATAGATAAGAGTCTTTTCTTTATTGCAGTGTTTAGATATCTAATTTTCAAATAAATATGCAAACACTATCAAGCATACTTATTTAATAATGGAAATCTCTCAAATCGATAGATTGCTTTAATTGTAGATTGCTAGAAACAATGTGGTATGAACTTATTCTTACACAGGAAAGTTGAATATAATTCTATAAATGCATAAATTTAGAAACGGGATTTAGGTTTTCGCAATCTGAGATATTTTTTTTTCAAATTCATGAACAAAAAATGAATGACTGCAAAGATACTGAATTCTATCATGCTTTGCCAAGAGAGTCTCATGAATATGCACTAGTGTAAATATTTATTCCTGTTCAACACAACCAATTTTGCTTGATTCATATTGATTTCAGAGTAACTTATTGTAACTGTTTGCACATGCAACCTTATGTTCATGGAACTCCTGGTTTCTGATTCATTTTTAACTTTGGTCGATTTTTTTTTTTTAGTTAAGAGTAAAATTAACAAAAGATTTTGTAAATTGCATGATTTTCAATATAATGGGTTATGAAAAAATAAGGAAATTATTGTTTTTAGAAAAGAACACATAGATAAATACAGGCATACAAGTTATAAACGTGTAGGACAATCGCCAAAATCATAAAAGAACTTGGGAAATATATCATAAGGAATGCCTATCATTTCGATTACATAAAAATCCAATTCCAGATTAAACAAAGTTGTTGCATTGTTGTTCTCATTTATTAGTATGTGATATGAAACATCCAACTTTATTCGAATTTTGTAATGATAAACTCTATAACAGCATAACTCAAACATTTTCTCGAGAGATGCATATTCAAATGTTTTTATTCATATAAAATTTTATTTCATACTTAGAATGTAAAAGGTGAAGATAACAAGCAGTGATCAATCTCAAAAACCCAGCGAAGAATACGAATAGTGAACAGGCAAAAACATGAGACACCTGGAATTACCTGGGATCAGGTGCCAAGAGAAGTAGCTATGCCCTGTCGTCCGGTCACATTCGTAATGATGAGGTACACGGAGTGATTCAAAGTAAAAATGGCATAAAACAATGGCCACCTATCATTTGGTAGGAAACGTCAATCAAAATACACCCCGCAATTGGTTTTATTTGCAAACAAAGATCATAATAACGACAGTGGAATTTGCGAAACCCTTACTTTAAATGAGATTATCAAATACTATGTAACATCATTTTATTTTTCAGTCTATTTTTCATCTGTTTAAAAATGTATGGTTTTAGAACATACTCTATTCAGTTGGGAGACATAAATACCATATGCAGGTTATTCTTGAACATTGCTTCATAAAAATGGAAAAGTTTAAATCATCCCATTTTAGTTGTTAGTTAACCACTGACGTCTATAGTCAGTAAAATATTCAAGTATGAAGCAGGTATGGAGGGCTCTTTGGTGTCTTTTATTTCCAGTTCACAGGGTTGACGTCGAGTTGACGTATGAATAAAAATAGATATTATTAATTGATAAAGCGTCCTCGATATATCAAAATAATGAATTGAAAGCCATAGTCAGAGATTTCTTCTTCTCGTGTAGAAGTTTTTGAATAAATTATGCTTCAAGAGAATTTATAAAATAGATCGGATAACAAAAGAGCACAATTAGAACCCGCGGAATTCAAACAAATTGTTGGAAGAGCTGGTCTCCGAAGACTACATAAATATTGTCAACATTGTCAATGAGGAATTCGATTTCAATATCAATTTTTATTCTTCTATGTTCTCTTATGTAGAACCAGATTGAGTTTAACAAAGAAATTTTGTGGATGACCAAGGTCATACTTTCAATAAGATGCAGTAAGGACCAGCTCATATAGATAATTTTTGCTATAGTACGAAAAAATTGTTCTTTTTGCTTAGTTTGGTATATAGAAGTTATTTTATTGATGAATACACTCTAGTACTAATAAGAGTGTGACATATTATATAGATTTACAGCAAGTGAGACAGACATGTAAAATTGACACAAAGTAATAAAATAGTAGTATTTTCTATAGTGTAGTATATTTATTATAGCTTTTTTGTTAGTTGCATTAAACTATTCTCTTTAGAGAAGTGGACAGGCTTTCGCCTACATCCACTTCTCTTCGCAAGCCTTCATGTTTTGAGTCTGGAAAACGTGTAAATCTCGAACCGGTGACGGTCTACACTTCAACTGATATTTCGTCTAAAAGACGTCCGAATGTACGTAATAGACGTGTTGTCTTAACAATTTTAACATAAATACACACAACTGTCACAAGAAAACTGACCTTTAAGTTCTGTTAATCTATTTTCACAAGTTCTCCATCCCGGATTTAAACTAATGTTTATCTACCACAGCTTATTAGAAAAAATTGAAAATTTTAAGTCGGATAATTTGGAAAATTGGCGAAGACGTATTTTAATGTTCAAAAAAAGTTTTGGACAATTCACTTTTGACTTAGCATATTATTCAAAATAAATATTATTACCTTTACTTATTTTTACTATTTTAGTACAATTTAAATGTAAATTTGAGCTTAAAAATTACTTCATTACTTCCTCACTGACAATACTAAAAAATATTTTCTTTTATTTTTAAACGATATTAACTCTACCTTTCCCGAGAAATGATGAAAAAAGATTTAAAACAAAGATCAAAAGAATTTGAACGAAACTTGAGGAAATACTGTCTCGTTAGTTTAATTAAACAGAGTAGACGATTTCTCTCGTTTCATTATTATTTTGTAAAAATAGTTTCCATTTTTATCCGAATTAGAGATTTTTGAATACTTCAAGAGTTACTTGCACATAATTTAAATCCGGGATGGAGATCTTGTGAAAATGGATTAACAATACTTAAAGGTCAGTTTTCTTGTGACAATTGTGTGTATTTATGTTAAAATTGATAATATAACACGTCTATTACGTACATTCAGACGTATTTTAGACGAAATGTCAGTTGAAGTGTAGACCGTCACCGGTTCGAGATTTACACGTTTTCCAGAATCAAAACATGAAGGCTTGCGAAGAGAAGTGGATGTAGGCGAAAGCCTGTCCACTTCTCTAAAGAGAATAGCATTAAACATCTGCATGGCCCTCAAGAGGATTGAAAAAAAACCCAGATACAGATGCCTGGGTGCGAGAAACAAAGTAATTCATGGTATAAATGTATGAAGAATCAATTTTACCGATAAGTTACAAAATAATTTTTATTTGTCTCCAGTAATGAATAATGAAATATTTGTATCATTTCTATCATTATAGTTGAACAAAATTTTGCATCAGACGTATATGCCTACTATCCATCAATGATAAAAAAAAATTTATGTTTTATTACATTTTCAACAGTGAAGTACTGTGATTTATTCATTGAATAAAAGTGATATTCTCTTACAGTGTGAAAGGATACAAAAATGATATTCTCTCACAGTGTGAAAGGATATCAAAGTAAGTAAAAAAAATAATTCCTGGCCTGTCATAAGATATAGTAACTAACCATCTGATAGAGTTAAAACTGCAAATTTCTTCCCAAATATGTTGCTAAAATCCATGCTATGTAATGTTTTCAATCTCACAACTGCTAAGCTATGACGTCTCAACCGCTCAACTATGACGTCAAGCTTATGACACTGTGTTAAGAAAAGACAATCAAAGAAAATGTAATAAACAGAAAATTCAATGTTTTGTAGATGAATATGGAATTTATTTCACGAGTGGGACAGGATTGTTTTTTATATTTTCACGAGTGCGAAGCACGAGTGAAAATATCAAAAAATCCTGTCTCACGAGTGAAATAAATTCCATATTCATCTACAAAACATTGAATATCCTCTATGTATCACTAATGCTGTAAATTAATAATACAATAATTTCATTAATGATGATGGGTCATCCGGTTCATAATATCATAGGTGGATTTTGTATCATTAATGGTTACTATTTTGCCTCATTGTGTTGTGATTTCCGAGAAAAAGAATGCGTCTCTAAATGCATTCACATGTTTTTTTTTTCAAATCTACCTACAGCGGTGTACGATTATTTTTTTTTTTTTTTTTGGAAAGGCAGACAGTAGGAGGGGAAAATTGTCGATCTGCTTAATATAAAATCACCCAAAAATTTGACTTGAATCTTAATGAAAAAAAAAGTTATTTTTGGCATTAAATGTTTGAAAACTGTCTTTTTATCAACTCACCTCTTATAATTCGTTCAGTAGACGTTCACATCGCATCTACTTTTATTACATCGATTCTTTTTTCTAGGGATTCCGTTATTAAAAATAAGTTAATAATGATATAACAACTAGTCGTCAAGTTTAAATTATTTTATTAACACACAATTTGTAAAATAAAAAAAAATGAAAACATGATACACTGTGCCTCCAATTAGACACGCCAGATCATAGCATCGAAAGTCGATCGGGTCACTAATTAAAAACTGCACATCATTGATCGTTTAGTTCATTGGACTTGCTGTAACGTTATGTATAAAGGGTCAGCAATCATACGTCAGTTTCATTATTTATTAGATGCTCGCGGTGTGTATGATGTCTGTGTGAACATTTTAATTTGCAAACAAAGCAGTTTCCGCTCAAATCCGCTATGCGAGCAAGGTCTAGAGAAATTGACTGAAACATCATGAAGATAACAGTCCATGATGTTTCTCTTACGACTTGTCTGATTGGTGTCATACTTTTCCACCGTTCAGGTAAGTAGTTTAATTATTTCATAAGTATGTTTGCATTTTAAAAAATGTGTTAGAAACAAATATGTTGTTTTGGCCAAATTGTTTTTACATACTTTGGAAGAGATTATAATATTTTTATGACGACGATAAAATCTAAATTGAATATATATATATATATATATATATATATATATATATATATATATATATATATATATATATATATATATATATATATATATATATATATATATATATATTTCACAGTCATTATGTGCATATCATATAGAATAATATATTTTCAAACTTAGATTTTCACAGCATGATTGTGTCAGAGACATTAAAAAATAAAACATTTTCTCTCTCTAAAAAAAAAGAAGAGTTTTCACCAAATTTTAAAATTTTCATTCTTTGAGTGATGGATATCAAGTAATTATAGATAAATTTAAATTAAGACTTAAGCTTTTAATGCACATATAACATACGTGTATTATTACAAGGTAAGAACAGGTAAAACAATCCGAATCCCCTTCCGTCCGAAACCCCCAAACCTCTCCAGTCTCCATGCACTTTAATCCACTTTTCCTCTGCCCCTTCCTCCCATTTCATTGAACAATAAACGATGAACAGATACAAAAAGAAACCAAACACATACAAATATATCTATATACAAATGAGAATTATACTGATGGCAAATTCGACAGTTTTCAAATATTATAGATCTGTTGGACACATTACTCTACTGTTGAAAAAAGTATTGTTGAAAATGACGACATGGAAAGTTTTTTTTTTAAAAAAGGTCTAAATTTAAGAAGGTTTCGATCTTTCAAATAAAGTTAGATTTTCATTTCTATCATGAATGGGGGTGGGTTGGGGGGGGGGGGGATGACAGACTGTCTCAATTCAAAGATTAAGGAATCGACATTTGTAAGAATGGACAAAAAGCATTATGTGCATATTGAAAACTCCGATGTATCGATGTATAGGGAAAAATAGGGAAAATGTAAACAACTATAACTCTGTTTTCAGTACACTGGAAGTGATAGAAGAATTAGAAGGATTACATGTACAATATGTAATTGTTCCAATTGACAAAGCTTACAATAACATAGTTTATGTTTGTGAGCTCAGGGTCCGATCTTGTAACTACATGATAGAACTTGGGAGATCTGGTAATCATAATTATACTGACCAAGGCCCTGCTATCTTTACTCGTAACAAAAATATCAACTGCTGTGAATAAGAAATTTCAGACGAACTGAGTTGTATCACATTCAAGAAATGAGTACTTAATTTGGAGACTATAAACTTAAAAGAACTTTCAGAAAATTTTCGTTTTATCTACATCAATATTAATTTTCATTCGCGTTTTGAATTGATATATCCCAGTGAACTAGAAATATAATACACCAGTCTGTACATTTTAATGAAAATATATGAATCTAACACCTAAACTGTATGACAAACGGGAATGCTTCATCTTTTATATCATATTCTCATATTTATGTGGCAATATTCAATATATCACATGGATGTGTCTAGCAACTGATTCGGTATACAAGAACATTTTTTGTGTATGATCAATTTTTTTAACCCGTCAGGTTACTCACAAATATGTTGATATTACAGGACTTTCATAATTTTTTTTTAAAGAACAGCGTTTTGCAAATTTTTTGGTTGTCATAATCACTTTTTCACCTATCATTTCAAATCAATTGCTTGGATATTGTTTTATACTATGGATCATTTCCTTTACCTGATCAAGGGCTCATGGCTGGATGTTACCGATTGACAGGGGATGCTTACTTCTCCTAGGCTTATTATCCCAAGGAGTTCGAGTATCTTCACCTTTGTCATTTCCTAAACAATATTTGTAGAATTAGTAAGAGTATTAATGAGAAATATATTGCTTGAGTTTCAAATGGAAATCTATTCATTTTGATTTGATTTTTTTGTTGTTTTTTTTTAAACATTGTTATTTCTTATGTGAATGGTTCATTTCCAGTACTTGAAAAATGTAAAACCGAAAACCGAACACATTGATGTGTTGGCACATCAATTTTACAATTGTTTGCATTCACTTTTCATTGTAAGCAAATCTGAACATTGGAAAAGATGCTTAAACTTTATAGAGTTGCTTAAAATGTCTAATTCAACTTACAATAACGCCTGCTATTTTTTGCAAAAAGTAAACATATTTGAACACCTCCCCCCTACACACACACCTATATATATATATTATCTTTCGGTACTGATCTGTTTCGTCCAATGATATTACTAGTATTAACAAAGACGAGGAATGTAATCAATGAGAAAGGCATCATAATGAAAAAGTCACGATTTTACACCTGTGATTACACCTACGAAATATAATAATTAAACAGTTTTGTTATAGAACTTTATTTAATGATCTATGATTGGAGTTTACCTAAAAATCAAATATAATTGGATCTTGGGACAGATTGTTCGACGTTTTCCCTACAGAATCTAAGATTAATTGAAAATATTGTTTATCTTCTCTCCCGTGAATACTTTATGATAGTATTAAATTTATCACAGACAAGAACAAACTTCAGTAATTTAGAAGCGTACTAATACCTGAATTCGAGCAATAATATCGTGTATTTTATACCAAAGAATTTTTGCGAAAAACGTCATTTAATATTCATTTCAAAATTGAAGATAAACACATTACATGTAACATTATACATTCATCATTTTGCTATAATATTTGACTTAGTATCAATAAATAGATAGCAACAAAGGTTTGGGAAAATATTATGCGCACATAGAAACGATAAATCAAGAGAAGTTATGAAGAAAAACTAGTTTTGCAAACGAAATTAAGAGCCTTTCAGCTATTCTACTATACGGTCAAATTTGACAGATTGCAACCAGCAATTACTACACTTTGACCAAGTGGGTTATTCTAAATCAGAACGAAAATGAGTACTTGTACACTTACATATAATAATTAATTTATTTGTAGACTCAAACAAGTGGCAACTATTCTATTCAAATGGCAGAGTTATGCGACATTCTTTCCTCAGCTTTTTAAATAAAGTATGACTGCATGATTTTGACCATGCTTTTTCCTGATGTCCTCGCAAAGAAATTCACTTTTAAAGTAAGCAAGGCCACTACATTGACCTGAAAACTGTCTAAAATGATCTCTGTCAAGAAGATGGAAATGAGAGCGTATGTGACAACTGTGCTTCTTTACATGAATTGCCGAAGAACTCGTATTAAAGATGATTTTTGTATATGGAAAGAAAACTGTCTTTAACGCTGTATAGTTTTCAGATTTATTCAGAAATTCAAAAGTAAAAAAGGAGAGTTAAAATATAACAGTCAAACTGGTCGATTGAAAATTGTACGTATACCAAAAATCATCGATTCTATGTGCAACATGATATCTGAAGTTCAGATTTACATCGAAAGACATTGCTAAGACACTAAGCATTTCATCATCACAAAATGTTATAGAATTATGACAATGAAAATGAATATAACAATATTTCTATCAGATAAGTGCCTTATTTTCTTAACACTTCCTACGAGAAAACACGCATTAAATGTGCCAACGGTCTATTTAAAAACAAATGTTTTAACAAAATAGATTTGTTAAAGCGTGAGGGAAGACCAAACATGGGTGCACTTTTAATAGCCAAAAAAGGAAGATCATTCATTCAAGTAAAACATGTACATACACACAAAGGAAGGACTATCAATGGTTACTTTTATGTTCACATTGCACTGAGGAAAGGTAAACAGATTTCCTGCAAAGGAAGTCCAAATACCGCCCCAGGGTAATTTTCTTGCACCTGGCAACGCTGCTGCAAATAAACACAGAAATAAATGAAATTCTGAAGAAAGGAAAGTTAACAGAGCTTTGCCATTCCCTATATTCCCTAGATCTCAGGCATTATGAGATCTTTTTATTCCAAAAACGCATGAAAACAATCAAAGGAAGATTGTACAATATTAAATATGTCATTGGAAGTGATATTCATCAGTGTCTTTGGGGCATCCCTAAAGATGATTATGCTGAGGTTTTCTGGTCATGGGTACAAAGACTTAAGACGTGTAAAGGATAACAGGGAATGCTTTGAGGGATTGAAAATGTTTAGAATTTTAATACATACTTTTCTTACTTTTAGATTACCTATTGCATTATTTATTGAACGACTCTCGTATATAGCATATTTTCTGAATTCAAGATTGTAGCGAAGTTAAGTTATAATAGCACAGTAAGGAATAAAGATGTCATTGATCAGTTATGTAATGTGGAATGGGATAATATATGCTTTGCCTTAAAAACTTGTTAGTCAACTAATTTTATTTGATTAAATGATTATTTGAACAAGAAATCAAAGAATTATTGTATAAATAATACCGAGTTCTCTATGGGAATGGACCGTCGTAAAAAAAATAATCACGCAGGACGAAATGCGAATATGCTAAGTAAATCATCAAAATAAACTCACATCCCAGTTTTAGCATAAAATATGGAAATATGTAGAAAACGAAGTGGGAAAGTATGAATAACAGGCAGAGGAACAGGTAGGCGGACTGAAGGGTAGGAAACATGTACTTGTAGTCCCTTTCGATTTATATAGGGGATTTACAATCATATCATTCAAGGATTTTGATTGCCTAATATCTAGGGTATCTTCAATAGAAATACAAGTACTAGCTTTTGTATAAAACAATTTACACACTTTATTTCTGAAGGCAGAGGTCAGTGTTTGCATGCTAGAGGCAATTCTATAGAATGTACCTGGGGGATGTTCAGTGTACATGTATTGCTGTGAAGGTATTAAGTGTTATTTGATTTTTGTCCGCTAATCTGATTTTCGAATCATCAAAAATGCTGAATTGAAATACATTATTTATAAGATTAAAAAGGAAAAATAAAAGTTCCCCATACTCTGTTTTCCGGATGGCTATTTGAAGTCTGCAAACTTTTACTATTTACAATTTCTCCAGAACATCTTAATGCACAATTTAAATATGTTTTC